CATGTATATACATACATGTATATACATACATGTATATACATACATGTATATACATACATGTATATACATACATGTATATACATACATGTATATACATACATGTATATACATACATGTATATACATACATGTATATACATACATACATACATACATACATACATACATACATATATATACATAATATATATATTATATATTCATATACATATATATATATGTGTGATGTGGGGTGCACTAAGGCAACTGAAATAAGACAGTGAACTTAGCAATGTTCATTGATTCAACATGCACTTGCTGTTGTACTCAATAAGTATGCCTAGCTATAACAACAAACTTTTCTATTTACAACTTTTCTGTATTAAGTTGTTGAAAGCATGTAAAACCTATTCTCTCTGGAGGTAAAATTTTTATGTGCCCACTAAATTTTGTGTTGCAAAACCAATAGTTTTCATGAATATACTCTCCTGAAGTTATTTGAGAATTTTGTTTGAGTTTGAACAAAGCATTTATGTGGGCCTTGTTCGTAGGAAATTTGGGAAAAAATACCCAGTGGAAGAGGAATTCTATGTAGTAACTACGATAGCAGGGAATATGTAGGAAGTTCTAAAAGTTAGAAAAAACAGCGTAACAATCAAATTCTTAGAAAGCATAAGCTCCTCACTTTATCATTACACAGCAGCTGGACTCGGTCCTCAGCAATGGAGGCGGTTTCAGCCTTGTCGTCGCTGCTTCGGTCATTGTTGTTGGTGGTGGAGCCAGCATCGCTCCCTCCCCCAAGGACCTTCTCGTAGACGTGTTCTTGCACCTTGCGGATCTGGATGAAGTCGTTGGCACTCAGCCGGTCCCTGGGAGAAGAAGCAGGGTTTTATGATAAATACAATGCAACCAATCTCTGGCATAATGCATCTCTTGAATGTTGCTGGGTCTATTTAATTTCCTTTCAAAAATATCATCATGAACTGCATCATGGCTCTTAATTGTGGGAAAAATAGTGTTATCTAGTCAAAAGGAGCACACTACTGTAACCCATAATGCCACAACTTCATCTAAAGTATTTCACTGAACGCATCACGAACATTAAGCAGAAGGTGACTGTGTCTATACATAAAACCTCATCCTACTTTTTCTCTCTTTTGATGCCTGAGGATGCGTGTGGAAGCAGGAAGAAGTAGACTTTGTTCTTGGGCTTGGGGGTGGTCTTGTCGACCACGATATCCAGCACCCAGGGCGGCACCGTCTCGTTGAGCAGCACCCCCTCCGTGTCTCCCCCAGCGTCTCCACAGAGCAGCCGGTACAAAGTGCGCCCCTGGATCTCGCTGCAAGTGAAAGGGAACATGAGCGACAATAGACAAGGTGATTGTCATTATCATCACTGTTAATACAATCATTAATATCATAACCACAATTAGAGTTACCTTTAGCTTTGTTATTGTTATATCAATATCAATATTGTGGTTATTAATAAAATCTAGTACTGAGCGCTATGGTAACTATGATGATAAGTAATAAAATTATTGATGATGATGATGATGATGATAATGATGATGATATATAATAATCACTATTATTATCACATCATTATCATCATCATCATTATTATTGGTATAATTATATTCATTATAATTCTTATTTTGATACTATTAACATTATTATCATTATCATTATCATCATCATTATTTTAGTACTAATAATGATAATACTGATGATAATAACTGATCACACTTATCACCATTACAACGAAAAAAGCCCAGAGCTCTCCGCACCTAATAATAACCGGGGTGTGCGGGGGGATGGAGAAGTACTCGTTGCCCGGCCGGGGGGTGTGGCCGTTGTGGTTGGCCACGCCTCCCCCCTCGGCCCCTTCCCCATTCTCATTCTCCTCGGACATGTATGTTCTTGGCCAGTGCTCGAACAGGGCCTTCAGCAGGAGTTCGCCGTAGTTGACTATTGGACGAGGGAGAATAAGAATAAGGGGGAAGAAGAGTTAGTGGTTGTGAAATTCTGATTTTTTTTCTTTTTTAACCCATTGCCACTGGGGAAAATGAACAAAAAATAGGGAAAATGCTGTGCCTATATTTTTTTTGTGAAATGACTGCCTATAGATGGCTCTGTTCGCGCCTTATTTGAAATGGCGGGAAAAACGTATTTTTCACTAGTGCCATGAAAACTGATGGTGTTATTTTTATTATAAACATTATGATTTTTATAATGTTTTTTAACATGAGTAACAGCAAAATAAAATAACGTAAAATATTTCGTAAATCAAAGAAAAGGGTACACGGGCGAGACAGGCAGTACTCATAACTGGCTCATTGGTGATTTAGTACAAGTGTAGCCATCTATGTGTATAAACAATCCAACAAGTAATCTCACAGTGGGCATGGCATGGCATGCCCGTCGGGAATGGGTTAATATATATATTTATTTATTTTTTAAATAACATTGGGGTCAAACAAGTATATACAAATATATTTTTCCATATAAACATATCAATTGATCTATCTATCTACTTATAAATATAACACATATAAATATATGTATATAAAATATGTATAGTGTATAACATATTTGATATATAATACATAATATATGATATACATAATATATAGAATATATATACAGTGTATAATATACATATAAAATATAATATCATAAAATATAATATAACATATATCATAAAATATCTCATATTTAATACTATTATTGTGCCACCACAGAACTTCTAACATCATGGAGGTGCATGTAAATATTAGTAAGCAAAATGGATCCACAAAGAAATCAATAAACAGAAAATAAAAGAAGCTGCATACATCGCAACAAAATACTGAGCACCTAAAATAACAATAGTCTTTAGGTTGAAAGAAGGGTTGACAGATTCCCCTGATGCTCTCAAAGGGCTTGCCAGTTACACCTCCATTATAAGAACTTTCATCCCAAAGATGATTCAAGAAGACATGGTAGTAAAATCCTTCTTTCTTTTGCCTACCAGCTATTCTTGCCAATAGAATGTAGCAATCTGTCGTCAATCATATATGTGCTCATGTCAACAACCTGTATTGCTTGTTCAGTGACCAATAATTTAACCACTTGTATAGCCTGCCTTACCTCAAAACAACTGATGTGCTAAAATTATATATTCAAAAATTTATCTATCTAAGTCTAACTCTATATGTCTACACTCCACTCACTATGCACAGAAAGCTCTCTCCTAAAGCAGCAGCTTCATTAAAAGCTGAAACACCGAAAACCCTTACTTTTGAGGTCTACCCCATCCTGTGTGGGGAAATTTGCCTCCTTGGCTGACACCCATGCGGAGAGGCAGTCCACCTCGTCTCGTTTCTCTGCCAGGTGAATTGTCAGCATCTGTGGGATGACAGTCAAGTTGTTCAAGTATCATGCATTACTACATAGGGTAGAATATGAGGCAAAATGAAACCAAATGTATACAGGCATTCATATTTAGTCTCCTTACTACATTTTTACCAATATGAATAACAATAGCTAATAAAAACATTTATCTATCATCCAAATTATCAAAAGATTCAGAGCTTTTAAACAATTCACAAAGTAATCTTTAGAAAACATATCAACAGACTAGGTCTACTCTATGAGAAACACTCACTCCTGTCTTCAAGTCAACAGTAAACCAACTAGGAACATAAATGGGTTTGTTTTTCTTCTCCTTTTCTGCATCAAAGTCCACCTTGCCAAGGTCCTCCACTTTGACTGCCTGTGAGGATGATAGTGGAATTTTTCTTTAATTAAAATATTTCATAGAAAAATAAACCAAGGAAAGGCCTTTATGTCAATATGAGGTCCTATTCTAACAGCTTCTCCCTTATATGCTATCCAAACTTGAAAATTTTCCTCAAAACTCAGACTAAAGAGGTACAACAGCTGTAGCATTACAAAAAAATACCTACATAAAAAGGACACGAAAGAACACTAAAGCCACCCCAACCTTAAGGATGTCCCAGAGCACGACATTCTCCTCTGTGTCGCGGGTGAGCAGGTGCCGCTTATCGTTGAGGATGGTGTACTGCTTGATGGACGGACCCCCTCGGATGCTCCAGTCTGGCTGCCCCATCACTGGGCGCAGCTCCTGCTCGTCATCATTATCACAGTAGTCCTCCACATGGGATAGCCGGTTGTTCAGGGGCTGTTTTGAAGGGAGGCAGTTGAGGGGGAAAACGAGCATGTAGTGATTAGATGAAAATTCTATTCATTGACATGGAATAATTTGTATGTCTCTCTTTTCTATTGAAGAGATAATGCCTCTTTGCTTTTATAATAAATGAGAAATATGTAAGTGACAAAATATCTGATTTTAACTAAAACATATGACTGTCAAATATTTTTTTTTAAATAAGTTTTACTATGTTTGTATCAGCATCAATGATATTTAGTCAATTAAAAAGATAATTAACTGACTGAACAAGCCTACTGCAAAACTTAAAATTGATACAGCGACCAGAAATAACGCAAAAACACAAACACAGCAAGCACCTCCCCTGAAAATCTAAATCACAGTGCCCTTTAAAAAAAAAAAATCCTGCAAAATATAAATTCCAACCTGCCAGCATCTCCAGCCCACATGCTTGAAAAGAGGGTCTTTGACTCACCCAGCACTTGATGGCCGAGTTAGTGGTGGCCACATACAAGGAGGAGTTGTCTGGCGTGAGGAGCATCTTGAGCACCGGGGCGGATTCCACGCACAGCAGGACATGCTTATCCGGGCAACGCGTCTCAGACATGTATATGCGCTTGTCCCTTCCTCCCGAGAAGACAGTTGTGAATGTGTCGTTGGCCTGTTCGAGTGAGCAGTTAAGCGCTATTATATTTATTATTCCATCACTGACATAGGTGAATCACAAAATCATAATGTGAAACTAACTTACATACTTTCTGTTGAACCGTATTTATGTTGACAAATGTAGAAAAGATATGAAGGAAAATTAATATCACAATATTTGATGAAGATATAATCAAAACCAGTCA